AGTAGTTAGTATTTGACTAGGTAATTGTGGCTATTGAGCGAAAGTTTGTACACATGCCACTTCGTCGCAGTAGTATTCTACTTTTCTTAAATAATACACCAATAATTAACTATAACTTTTTTATATTGTAGTGTACATACGATGAGGCTTGTCACGTGTACTAATTTGTCCTGATCCCGTCTGTTATGATGCCTGAACCTAGCCACCTCACAGACAAATAAAATTATTTACCCTACTTATCACTACATGACTACTCTGACTCTCATCACAATAAACAGTGTCTTATAAAATCATAATCTGAATGTGTTTAAAAAGAATCACTTTTTTAAATATTTTCTTAATTATTAAATACAAATGGGGATTTATTATTTAATTAACACAAACCTCATTCAGCAAACTTGTTAAAATTGTTAACAAGTATAAAAAAAAATACCAATTAATAAAATATTAAAAGCGTCATGATTTCCATATCACTGATAGCGGTATAATATGTCCCCTTCGATATCCACCTAGAGAAGAATTATTTATAATTCTTCTATATCTATAATTTTCTGAAAAATAATAGTCTATTAATTTGACTTTTATAACTTCACACATGGTCACCCTTAGCTGTATCCCACTTTTTTCTCAATCACCTCTTCTCGGAAACTTTACGACCTAAAAAGTGTACAAAAAATGTAATAATCTTGAAACGCTGCCTCTATGGGAATGTTTCCCTTACTAAATAGGTAGAAATTTAAGGATTGAGTGAGACCTCTTTGTGTGACCTTTAAAACAGTTTAGTGAAACTGTTATCCTACATTTTAGCAGCAGGTCAGAATACTAATTAATAATTATCTTCTTCCTAAAAATGTGAAAAATTTCACATTGGTATATAAATAAATAGAAGATATTTTCATCATCACCATCATGAGCCTTTTAATATCCCCGCTGCTGGGGATATTAGGCTCAGGCCTTCCCTATAGATGGAATCGGGAGATTGGACCATGAACCACCACGCGGGCCCAGTGCGGATTAGTGTTTGCTAAAGAATGCAGAAGCAGCTGGGACCAACGGTTTACCGTGCCTTACGAAGTTCGAGACAATAAGTTTTGGGTCACCCATCCAATGACTGACCATTGCAAATTTTCATCCTCTATTTAAAACACTTAGAAGTTTTCTTTTCGCGACAAACAGTAGCAGTAGATAAAATTAATTTGCGATATTGTTCCCTGCTTTTAGGATCTTGTCCTGTCAAGTAGTGGATAAAAGAGAATACAATAGATGCCGCTTTAGTTAATAGTAGTATATTATTTTTTTGGGATTTCAAGAGATAAAATGTTTTTGCTCAAAATTCAAGTGATGAAGACTTATAAAATAATTAAAAAAAAATCTAAATCAGTTAAATATACATATATATATATAAGAATGTGATACAAATACAAGATATTAAAAATTATTTCTCCGTCATCAGAAACATTACATGAACTCTCCTCCTAGTTCCTATTCAAAAGACTGACGATTTGGACACGAGCAAAAGTCACGTCCGATTGTCCACGCATGAGAGTCCGAAGCAAGGTATGGCACACCGAGTTCTGAGCATGTTCTGAGGGCTACTTTGACATCTCCGTAATTGGTCATATCGCACCATCAAAGTGTCTATGAAAACTAAGCAGCGCGCAGCGTCCCTACCGGACATAAGAATAAACTGGCTCCTTACGTACAAAATTTGACGCTACGGTCAAGCTACGGTTACGTCGGATCTGTCAAAGTTCATGCCTGGGCTTCTGCACTGCGCTGCGTACCGCGAACGCAGGATTGCCAATCGTACGAAAATTCTCCTACATACAAATACGAGATTTTTAATCTTCCGTACGAGGAACGAGAACACTACTCATATGTACGAGATTTTGTCAGATAAATTTAAAACATGATTTTTCATTGAAGGCAACATGTTGGAGCTTAAACCGTAAGTATCCAAACCAGTCTCTGTTTATTATAGTTTTAATTTTTTGAATCTAAAGAAAATGTTACTGGAAAAACATTTGTTTACAGTCTATGGTAGTAACGGGTCACCGTTGGACTATAAATTTACCAACTTTGGGGGAGGGGTGCAAATCTGGTAAGAGATTAGAAAGCCAGATAACGAGATTTTTAGCTGCATATGTACGAGGGAAAAAGTTCTATGATTGGCAACCCTGCGCGGACGGTTGCAGAGCAGAGTTGGACGGCGGGATCTTGAAAGAATTGTACCATTACGAATAATACTAGGATGTGTGTGCATCAGATGACATGTATATAAGTTGTATTTAACGCTGAAATGGTACCAAAAGAATTGCTTCGTATCTGCTTCTATTTGCTACCTATCACGAGACAATTAGAAGGGGCCATTTATGCGGTATGTATCAAAGACGTTAAACTACTCAAAGGTTCAATTAGATTATCTTCGGATGTTGAAATAGTCGACTTTTCATGAAGATAAATTCGTTAACCAAACAATGGTATCGATTCTGGCGTGATTCTCGAAACCTAAAACTAAATTTAACATCAGTCTCTCCTTTTCATTCGGTAAAGAGAAAGACAAGGATACAATGTTGTCAAATTTAAGTTTAGATTTAGAGAATCATGCCAGAATTGACACCATTTTATTATTACTTAAATCTTTTAAGGAACTAAATTGAAGGAATTTGCACCTATGAAGATAGGTATGGACTCTTAATCATAATAGGAATTTATTTATGTATAGTGTATTTTTGACCAATTCACATCACAATTTTTGTAGACCAAGGCAATAATTTATTTTTTTGGGTTCGGAGATGGAGATCTACTGCTACTGTTTGTCGCGAAAAGAAAACTTCTAAGTGTTTTAAATAGAGGATGAAAATTTGCAATGGTCAGTCATTGGATGGGTGACCCAAAACTTATTGTCTCGAACTTCGTAAGGCACGGTAAACCGTTGGTCCCAGCTGCATCTGCATTCTTTAGCAAACACTAATCCGCACTGGGCCCGCGTGGTGGTTCATGGTCCAATCTCCCGATTCCATCTATAGGGAAGGCCTGAGCCTAATATCCCCAGCAGCGGGGAATACATAAATACATGTCATCTGATGCACACACATCCTAGTATTATTCGTAATGGTACAATTCTTTCAAGATCCCGCCGTCCAACTCTGCTCTGCAACCGTCCGCGCAGGGTTGCCAATCATAGAACTTTTTCCCTCGTACATATGCAGCTAAAAATCTCGTTATCTGGCTTTCTAATCTCTTACCAGATTTGCACCCCTCCCCCAAAGTTGGTAAATTTATAGTCCAACGGTGACCCGTTACTACCATAGACTGTAAACAAATGTTTTTCCAGTAACATTTTCTTTAGATTCAAAAAATTAAAACTATAATAAACAGAGACTGGTTTGGATACTTACGGTTTATGCTCCAACATGTTGCCTTCAATGAAAAATCATGTTTTAAATTTATCTGACAAAATCTCGTACATATGAGTAGTGTTCTCGTTCCTCGTACGGAAGATTAAAAATCTCGTATGTGTATGTAGGAGAATTTTCGTACGATTGGCAATCCTGCGTTCGCGCTACGCAGCGCAGTGCAGAAGCCCAGGCATGAACTTTGACAGATCCGACGTAACCGTAGCTTGACCGTAGCGTCAAATTTTGTACGTAAGGAGCCAGTTTATTCTTATGTCCGGTAGGGACGCTGCGCGCTGCTTAGTTTTCATAGACACTTTGATGGTGCGATATGAACAATTACGGAGATGTCAAAGTAGCCCTCAGAACATGCTCAGAACTCGGTGTGCCATACCTTGCTTCGGACCCTCATGCGTGGACAATCGGACGTGACTTTTGCTCGTGTCCAAATCGTCAGTATTTTGAAAAGGAACTAGGAGGAGAGTTCATGTAATGTTTCTGATGACGGAGAAATAATTTTTAATATCTTGTATTTCAGTGGCGTAGCATGGGGGGGGGGGGGGGGCGGGGGGTGCGGTCCGCACCGGGCGGCACTTTGCCGGGGGCGGCGCTGCGGAGGTGGCAGATAGAGAAAAAAAATTTAAAAATAAAAAAAAGTTAATTTCTTTCAGTTTTTTTTCGTCATTTTTTTGTTGTTGTTACCAAATACCCAGGTACCTATGCAGGTTCTATGCATCTATACGTTTTCTCTGTAATTTTTCTAAGTGATATTGTGATAGTCTACCTTCTACTCTATGTCAAAAAATGTTAATTTCACTCTTAGGTTAGTGTTATTCAATAAAAGTACTCTTTTTACCATGCCTCAATTTTTTTATAATGGATTGCAAAAATAAGAGGGCGGCAAATTTGGAATCCGCACCGGGTGCTAGTGACCTATGCTACGCCACTGTTGTATTTGTATCACATTCTTATATATATGTATATTTAACTGATTTAGATTTTTTTTAAATTATTTTATAAGTCTTCATCACTTGAATTTTGAGCAAAAACATTTTATCTCTTGAAATCCCAAAAAAATAATATACTACTATTAACTAAAGCGGCATCTATTGTATTCTCTTTTATCCACTACTTGACAGGACAAGATCCTAAAAGCAGGAAACAATATCGCAAATTAATTTTAGAATATTCTACAAGATGGCAGGTCTTTTACCCTAAGTCTCTATTGAATAGATGGCGCTGTTCAATCAAATATGAGAACAAAAAAGAACTCAGATGTCATTTATCTTCTTAAAAAATAGATTTTGGACTTATAGCTTTTTTAAGCTATTCTGTAGTATAATAAAAATGTATTTCAGTTAAATTCAGATAATTATTTATGCTTCTGATTACAAACTTCTGTTCAAATAGTTAACGTATCCCTAGTTACTCGTAAGATGGCATTACAAGACATATTGGAACTTCATTCACACAGCATAGAGGGCGCTGTTATAACCCTACCACGGCAAATATTCTTACCACGAAAGGCTTCCTATCGTTGGCCGTGTCTTTTCATTTTGTCGATATATTATTCCTTGAACAGTATTTTGAAGTCGATACAGACAAAATCGTGTCTATGGACGCTCGACACGAACTAGCAGTTTCCCAGCAGCAGTCTGTTGCCGCATTTGCTGTGGCGAGTTGATTTGACAGTACATTACAAACAGTTATCGTGAAAATGATGTGAATGAAGTGTTTTTAAAATAAATTGTGACTGAAATTCATGTTGAATCTTTACTTTAGTTGCTGGTGATTGCAGTGGAGTGTATAATTGTGATTTTATGTGAACGCTACTGTGTTAAATAGTGACCTAAAGTGGAACAAGGTGCGATTATTTCAAGTTCGCCGGCTTATCATGTTGTGGTAAGTGTATGATCGATATTTACCCCCTTTTAAGACTACATTGGTCGCCTTTTTGATGTGAAGACAACAGATATATTGTGGCATCTTTGAAAATATTATGATACGGGTTGTGAAAGCCTCATGTAAGACCGTTCTATATCATAATCATATTGTACTATTCGCTTAAAAAAAACCGTAGTTTTACATTAAACTGTTCAGATTTCATAAGAAAATCTTGTTTTCTACCAATTAGAAACCTACAAGAACGGTAAATAAACATCGATTGATGACCTTTGTTTACTATTACTAGTAAGTTTGACATTGACCCAAGATCAGTAGGTACCACCTACGTTAATAAGTTTGATTATTTTTAATGTACAAGTAAACTGTTCTATTCTTAGATTTTTAGGTTTCATTTAATTTGTTGATAACTAGCAATCTTAAAAGAATGACAGCTACTAACTAGAAATGTAAGAAACTGCTATTTCTTCTAAGTGTCTTAAATCAAGTGCCTGCTACTACACACTTTATCGAAAAATTCTTTTAATATAAAGCCCATGTGTTTATGAACCATTTGTTGACAGCAAAAATCTTTTGTAGCTATAATCACCTGAATTATTGAACTATTCATCTTCAAATGTAAATGATGTCAGTTTAATGAAAAAATCTAAATAGTTCAGCATTCACAATTCTATATTTTTTTCATGGAATATAGGCAGCATATCATCATTGTACACTGGTTGGCTGTTTTTATCATATTTTTTAATATTAACATATGACACAGTAAACTTAACTTCATTGAGCACTCTTTTTAATTGAAAGTTAAAGAGGAGAATGTTCTCAATCCATCATTTTTTAATCTGTTGTTCACGCTTATCTCTGAGAGAGTAGACCGTTTTTGATGAGTCTTTTTTTTTGTTTAAATCAGTATTAATTTGGTGAAGCTCTGACGAGTTATTTCCAAGATAAACAATGGAAATCCTCAGTTACTAACAGTACTCAATATACAATATAAATAAATATGATTGAGATAATTTAGGCCAGGTGACGTACTTTGGGTTAAAGAAACTAAAAAATATACTTCTTAAAAAAAGCACTAAAAAGTAAGAAATAAATATTCTTTATGAATATCATAAAGAATATTTATTTAGATAAATGTACTTGGTTGGCACTCTAACTTGGTTGTTAGTTAGAGTGCCAACAGAATTTGGGTAAAGGACTAAGTGTAAATGAATGAAGTCCTCTATGCCCCTTTTCGGGTAGTTTTCGTTTTCTGACACCATCTTCCAGCCGATATTCCAGTGTTAATATTACTTGGATACTGGAATTTGAGTAATGTCTTTCCTGCACCAGAATACTGGCTAAGGACCAAATGTAATTGAGCCATTATTGATTAATAAACATTTGGAATCTCTGCTAATACATCTTGATGGATTTGAGTTACGATTATAACTGCTTGGGTTAGCATGGCACCGACATCAAATTTAATGTTAAATGTAAAGTACATAAGTAGAGATATGTATTATTTTTTACTTTTTAGTGGTTTTATTTTTAAAGTTTTAAGGGATAGGTTTTTATTTCATTTTTAAGTAATAGCTATTTACCTATTTCATTTAGCTTTACACAAGAAATACAAAAAATGAAAAAATCATGCAATTTATGCATGATGATGAAGTCTTGAGACATAGATTCAATAAAACCTAAATTGTTGAAACTTTTATTTTATCATTTATTTTGTATGTTATTATTAACATATCTTAGACTGGCTTCTAATCCAATTTCTTAGGTATCTGAATCATCTGCCTCAGAGATAATAAGATAAGTATCATAGTGTGTCAATCCAGTGTACACAAAATCTTCAGGTACATACACATAGGTGATATAATACGAAATGTCATTCAAATCCTTTCAGCAGTTTCAGCAACTTTCGCAATTGACGTTCATTGGATGGGTGACCAAAAACTTAGTATCGCGAGCTCCTCCGTGCTTGGGAAGGCACATTAAGCCCTTGGTTCCTGTCGCATCTTCCGTCGATAGCACCAACCAATCTGCACTGGGCCTGTGTTGTAGGTCACAGCCCAATCTTCCCATTCCATCTACAGGAAGGCCTGTTCCCCAGCAGTGGAGAAATTAATAGGCTGATGATGATGTTGTCATTTATGATGTCACCAGGCTTGTTTATCTCTAATCCATGCCAAAGGGCATGATTCTTGAATCCAAGAAAAATGTATTAATAGAATTCAAAAATATCCTAGGGTAGATTCGATGTTGATAATCCAAATATATTCCCCTGAACCAACTCAACCACTCTGGATACATCCTGTACTTTCTGGATTGAGAAACGGGATACAATTTATCCTCTAATAATGTACTATGAAAATTAGATAACTTGAGTATTTATAAGAAAACCATGAGTCAGGTTTAAAACACCCATAATAATGCACCCACTGGTGCAGAAGTCAGAAGCAAGCCAGAGTTGACTTAATTATAAATTAAGGATTTAAAAAAATCCACTGTTGCATCTACATTGGAATAGTTCACAACTTATGTGGGAAGTCTCAACAATATGCATGCACTCTATAAAATACGACAAGGGTTTTATTTAATGACTAAAATATTATTTCAGCTATTATTGTTGTTGTTGTTTTATTGAATGACTAAAATATTATTTCAGCTACCTACCTGACATAATATTTTAGTCATTAAATAAAACACTTATCATATTTTAGTGTGCATGCATATTATTGAGACTTCCCACATAACGTTGTGAACTATTCCAACATGAACTATTGAATATACCTGTTAATGAAAATTGACAATTAACCTTGTAATTGTAAACCTAGGTGAGGTTACGTCATCTACATTGTCAGTTGGCATATTAGTCACACAGGTACCACTTAATATGGTGTTTAAAACAACATAGGTCATTTCTAAAATTTGAGAAACTTTTCCGCTTGATTCACTTCGTCGTAGACATAATCTGTGGCTCGGAAGTTCTATCGTTGTTCTTACCACGCCTATAACTATTAGTCGGAGAGCCGGCTGTATAAAAGTCCTATCGTCAAAATTATGACGTCACTTCCGGTTTTTATTTTAGGTGTGATTGTAATTTATCGAATACATCAAGAAAATGTATGTCAAACGAAAGTTTTTGATGAAAAGAATAGAAATGTCAAGGATCGACAAGCTCTATTTATTCGCTACCCTGAGTCGTCCACCATTAAAAACATTTCTTTTTAAATTTATCTTAAGCCATCGAATACATGGATTTGTTTACGATTTTCTGAAACTAGAACCTCTCAAATGACTGAAAAAATTTGGTCCACACCTTTTATTTGCCTGGATCTGACTGTCGACTTAGTTTGAAGAAATAAAGAGCCTATGCTATATTTGCTGTGTATGTTTAATTATTTAATTATTTGTATATGTTTTTCAAATACATTAATATTTTTTTCCAATTCATTCTCTGACTCTAACATACTTAAAGAAATTGGTCGACACCTCGGGTCGTTATTTACCCACATCCAGCTGTCGACGTAATTGAAATTTTTTTTTGAACGGGAGAAAACATGCTTCATATTCACGACAATGACCATCGCCGCGTTGATTTGCTGTCAACAAATCCTCGCGACGCGTAATTGCGTGGTGCATTCGGCAAGCGGCGAGCAGCCCGAGAGCCGCTAGTCGGTGCGGGTATACTTTGACGTGTACTCGCGCAAGCGTGGCATACGTCAAACCACGCCGCCTCCGATCAGCAGCCCGGTCCGCACCCGCTTTAGCCGATCCTGGGCTTCTCCGTTCACAACGTCACATGACTAGTCTCACAGACCGCAGTCCGAGCGGCTAGCCAGCCGACCAGCTCCAGTACCTACCAGGTAAAGCAACTCACAGATCTACAGGTATATTACCCTAGCGTAACAATTTCATAAGTCCATATCCTAAGGTATATAGTATTTTGTTGCTAATTTGTTGCTATTTTGTGCCGCAAGAATTGATTTTGTTGCTCCATGATTTCTCGGAAAAACGCCAGTTACGCTAGCGTAATATTACGCTAGCGAAACCACAGCGATAACTCGGAGGCAAAAGCAGTTATAGAGATCAGATGAACGGCATATTTTGTTGCTATTTTGTTGCTGTAAGATAAGCTGGTTAAATATGGAAAATTTCCCCCCCTTCATGGGGGGCTAACTACCCTTATTCTTAGATATTTCAGATTTTTCGTATCTCGTGAACTAAAGCAGCTAGCGGCACGAGACAAACGGCGTATTTTGTTGCTATTTTGTTGCTGTAAGATAAGCTGGTTAGATATATGGAAAAATTCCCCCCCTTCATGGGGGGCTAACTACCCTTATTCTTAGATATTTCAGATTTTTTGTATCTTGTGAACTAAAGCAGCTAGCGGCACGAGACAAACGCCGTATTTTGTTGCTATAAGGTAGGCATGCTGCGTACATCATAATCACAACCCTTATCGGGGTATGACCAACCCCCGACCTCAAGACACCAGATAATTCGTATCTCGTGAGCTAAAGCAGCTAGCGCCCCGAACCCAACGGCGTATTTTGTTGCTATTAGATAGGCATGCTGCGTACATCATAATCACAACCCTTATCGGGGTATGATCAACCCCCGACCCCGAAGACACCAGATATTTCGTATCTCGTAAACTAAAGCAGCTAGCGGCACGAGACAAACGGCGTATTTTGTTGCTATTTTGTAGCTATAAGATAGGCATGCTAGGTACATCATAATCACAACCCTTATAGGGGTATGACCAACCCCCGACCTCAAGACACCAGATAATTCGTATCTCGTGAGCTAAAGCAGCTAGCGAACCGAGACCAATGGCGTATTTTGTTGCTTTAAGATAGGCATGCTGCGTACATCATAATCACAACCCTTATCGGGGTATGATCAACCCCCGACCCCGAAGACACCAGATATTTCGTATCTCGTAAACTAAAGCAGCTAGCGGCACGAGACAAACGGCGTATTTTGTTGCTATTTTGTAGCTATAAGAT